GATTATCAAAGACCCCCATCACCCCAGCCACAAACTGTTCTTTCTGTTGCCGTCTGGCAGACGTTACCGCAGCATCCTGGCAAGAACAAGAAGATTCGGAGACAGTTTCTTCCCGCGGGCAGTGAGACTGTTAAAAAATTGAACTGTTGAAACAACTTCAAACATTCAACTGCTACTCAGTAGTATGTATCTAATACCTAATATATATATATCATTCCAATAACTTGTATATAGACTCATACTGCACTATTCCACATCATAACTTTATTTCATTTTTATAACTATTATTATTTTTGTATTGCTCATGCTCTTATTGTTATTATGTTATGTTATTATGTTGCATTGTTGGAGAAGCCTGTGACATAAGATTTTCAACTGCATAATTACTCTGTAGCTATGTCAGATTGACAATAAAGAACCTTGAACCTTGAACCTTGAACCTTGCCCTTCGTGTTCGCCATGCCAGTGGACCGGACGGGCCCGCTCGTCAGGGAGAGGGACGACGACACCTCGTTGTCTGATGCTTCCGGTCCGGCACAGGTCTGCGCGGCAGGACTTCCCGGCGGTGATGACTATGGCGGCGGAGCGTGTCGGCTCACCGCTCCCCCCACCGCTGCCACCGAGGCCGGTGAGCCTGTTGGCTCCTTTTCATCGTCTGTGCTTGCTGGGGCAACACAGGACTGATGAGGAGGGGGACGTTGGTGCGCACTGGGCCCATAGGGGCTGGAGGACTCTTTCCCCCTGCTTTAGGGCAGGAGGGGGGAGCCCTCCACGTCATAGTCCATACACGCTCTTCGCGAGGTGAGCGTGTCTGAGTGTGGGACATGGGGCACTTGCGCTCTCCCCGTGCTCCTTAGGGACTCGGGAGAGGTGGTGCATAGTGAGCCCATACGGGGCTGAGGACTCTCTCCGTCCGCCTATGGGCGGAGGGTGGGAGCCCTCAGCGCTATTTTCCGAGCACACCTCCGTGGGATAAGCGCGTCAGAGTGTGCTCTGTCAGCCGCAGCCCCAACTTTCTCCACGGTTACGACCGAGAGAGAGGTGAGTGAGGCACAGCGGCTGCTAACCAGAAAGTCGGTCAGAGACAGTGAGATGGAACAGTGTTGTTGTGGGACGACAGCGCGTGTATACATCGGGGCCTGTGAGAGATATAACGAGGGGTTACGTATGGTAACCCTTGTTATATAAACACAGGCGGAGCCCTCTACTCTGGGGCCCTGTCTGTCCTATGCTGCGTGCTGAAGAGAAGTGTAGGATGGCAGTCAGGAGGCGAGGCCTCCTTTTATGCGGTGAGATGCGCGCGCATTCAAGTAGGCCCGCCCCGGGGCCGGCTATGTCTATAGAAGTCTCAGTGGATGAATGCTTGCATGATATGATCAAGGGGAGTACCCATAGAGTCCAGTAGAGGGCTCCGCCTGTGTTTATATAACAAGGGTTACCATACATAACCCCTCGTTTTTGTACTTAGTGTAAAGCTCTTTGAGGCAAATGTGACTTGTGATTTTGACCTCTACAAATAAAACTGGCTGGACTTGACCCCTTTCATCTACCTTCTTTTTTCCATTGATGACCCTTAGTATATCAAATAACATGAAAAGGTAAGACCTGGAACACCTAAACATAGGCGGCCACTGTTACTGTTATAAGTTACACCTCTGCTTTTCCAAATGTGGTTCAGTTGGTTGATTGAAAGCAGGTGCGCTGGATTCATTTGCCTGATTTGCCTGAGTTTCAAGTGAAACAGTGGCCATTTGTTTTAAAAACAAGATTTAGAAAGTGTTTGGGATACAGTAGATACACCTCTAAATCCATATCATTTTTATCTGGAATTAGACTCTAATTATGAACGCAGACACAGGCACATTCTTGGAATCGCTCTGTATGCTGCAAGCCTCTAAATATTACAGAAATGGTTCGATTAAAACCACCTGATGTCTTGATTGCGAAATCGATTTTGCCAGATAGATTATCACATGTGGTAATAGTGATCTAAATGAGTTTGTTAGGGACTGGTTCCCAATATCACTACATGAAAGAGGAATGGTTAAGTGTTGCGTGGAGTAAATACAACATACAAATTATCGCACAAGTTGAGACTGCTGCAGCCTTTTTTGTGTCATCTCTTTTTGTTCTGTGGTCGATGCTTTCTTTTGTCTTGAGAGACGGTTTTGGTATTGTATCATCTTGTGGCTTTTGAGAATATTAATCATGAGACTTTTGTGCCTGAATATTAATATTAAGGGCACTTTGAGGTTTCTCTGCATGCAGGGTGGGTCTGCTCCAGGCGCAGCAATCTGAAGGCAGAGTTTGGCTTCCTGTGTGCCAGCCTGCCTCGGCCATCTGCTGATGTGTGAAGCTGTCGACTGACCGCGAGGAAGCAGGGGCTCAGCGGACCTTTGGCCTTGAACAAGTGGAGTGGCAGAGACCCCTCGGACTGTTTTACTCTCCCTTCCTGCTGTCACAATCACTGTTTCATTTCAATTTAAACTAGTTTAGTTTCAAAGTATCACAGGTCTTAGATATTTGCCTCTGATCTCATCACATTTTACATGAAACGAACCAAGTCTTATTTTGCCAGCTGCTGAGATTGGTTGGTCAAATGAGAACCTTCAGGCCCACTGAAGCGTACTGCAGAAAGTGTTGAAAATCTCTCATACGTTCCTATATATCTTCAGATATATTGTATAACCATTTTCAAAGTTTCTTGTCAAAGTTATGTTATGGCTGTTTCAGATTATTGCAGTGCTTAGTTCAAAGCTCATTATGAAATGCACCTTGAACTATACAACGACATAATTAAATACTTACAATAAAGTAAGTTGCTATAATAAATGCAACTTTATGCTGTGATGCGAGTAGAAAAGGAGGAGGAAGAGGGAGTATAATACCTTATTTGACAAATATTGTTTTTTTATGGAAGCATGTGTATGAGCTGAGAAGTATTTGTGTAAGTAAAATACAAAAAAGATATTGAAATACAGTTTTTCCACTTGCTTTTTCCTTTAAAACATGTATTTATATTCCAATTACCCTTAATATACCCTAACATGTATTATATAATCAGATGTACCTGCAGACTCAGAGGCTGTTCAATATGGGTGTCGGTCCACTCATGACCAGCAGATGGCAGCATGATACCTCTTTTTACAATACAACGTTTTTTATTTTATTAATCTTTTTAGGACAGTGTTTTGAGGTCAGTGTTGCAGGATGCAAGGTGAGTAGTACTGCAATGTTTTTGATCCGATCCAACATGTTTTCTCTCAGATCTCAACCAAACTTTATCTATTAATAGTTTTCAAATATGTGTTTAGGTTGGTGAGTTTTTAGGGTTTTATGTTAATGTTGAGTGTTTTAGGTTGTAATTGTTACTGTATAATGGATGAACTATTTCCAATTAGATAAGATAGTAAACATATCCTTTAAATATCATCTGCTTAGTGACGGGGACTCCATTGTCAAGCTTCAGATGGGTTAACAGGGTGCTCTATTTCACATTATGTCCTTTCTGTCTTTTGATTGTACTGTAATAATCTGAATTCAAGTAAACCCAACCAAAGCATATTACAATTTAAATAGATCTCCCTTGGACCCAGTAATACTCTTCACCCTTCTTCCATTTCTCTCCTTTACCTCACCCCATCACATATTACCACCACCCATACTCTAGGACCCCCCCCCCCCCCCCCTCCTTTCTGTCAGATCCCACAGCAGACAGGAACTATAAAACAGTGAGCAGATTTTCACTCAGCCAGTGAACAGCAGGATACTGTGAGTCCTTAACCTGATCACCGTTCAAACCTCACATTTATTGGAGAGCCTTTCATGTTTTACAAGATTTTGTAAAAGTAAACGAGGCGAAGGGAGGTATTAGGTCGTGTGAACAGTTGCAGGTCATGCTTACTGTTCAACTCAAACAAAAATATAAAGTATCTAATGAAATTCCTCTCTGAGATAAAGAGAGCTGCCTGTTTTGTCTGTGTCAAACTTCTTTGCAATGCCATATATGGGATGATACTCTAGATTACAATAAGAAGATAACATCTGTGTCACTTTACGCAGCCGAGTGGGTGAAAAACACAGTAACAGAGAAGATGTTTTATTAGTTCAGCCCGAAACCACAACTAAAATATTAACAGCCCGTGTCGAGGACATGAATAATTCAATAATCCACTTTATCTACAATTATTTAACACATACATTCTGAAAGCAGGGGGCCTAAAGTGCACAATATTGCATGTCATACATCCTGCAGGCTACGTGTAATGTAAGGATGAAGATTTAAATGCTAACTATCAGGACCAGCCTGCTGTGCAAGGGAAATATCAGACAGAAACACTGAGTTTAATACCATCCATTAGAGAGAGAGAGAGAGAGAGAGAGAGAGAGAGAGAGAGAGAGAGAGAGAGAGAGAGAGAGAGAGAGATGAGAGCGAGAGGAGCGCTGAGAGGCGGAGAGAGAGACGAGACGAGACTTCCCCCCCTCCCGAGCTAGAGCTCAGAGAGAGAGAGAGAGAGAGAGAGAGAGAGTGTGTGAGTGACATCATCTGGGGCAGTGACACTCTTGGGTCCAGTATGTCAGCTTCCCTCATCCACACACTGTTCTCATTTGGATAAAACATGCATATGTCCACGTGCAACTCACTTAAACACACACACACACACACACACACACATTTACAACACACACACACAGACCCACAGTTGCACACACACTTTTTTCAGACAGCTTTAAGATTCCTTTATTCTTCAGCTGCCCATAAAAAAAACCACATTTGTTCTTTTTAAATAACAATAATCTTTGTTAAAAAAACATTACAATTGATTTGGGAGAGTTCTTTTCTGTCGTTCACATCCTGCATATATAACGTTAGCCGTCTTCCATGTGTTGCTTAAGTTTTCCCGGGTCATAAATGTCTCCACATGCCCAGAAGAGGCACATGGAGAATAAATAAAGCTTTTTGTCGGAGGCCTGCTGGCCCTCGTCCCAGAATCTCCTCTTCTTCTTCTCCTCAGTGTCCCTTCATCAGGCCGCAGAGCAGATTGACATCTTCACTCTGCTTTATCCACCAGTCTGTGTGTGTGTTTGAATGAATGTACAGTATGTCAGCTTGCAGTTCAAGTGTCTTTTCAAGTGTGTGTGACAAGTGAAATTCACTGTGTGTACACGGCGTAGTAAACACGAGTCTTTCTCTCCGAGTCTGTGTATCAGAGTTCGTCTCGGGATGCTCGGGCTGCGGGGGGGGGGCATGTCTCCGCTGACGCTGTTCTGAGCCATGGCCTCGATGCTGCCCTGCTGGGCCGTCTTGAGGGCGTGCTGCCGGTCCCAGTCTGTTTCCACTGCCTCGTCGTCCCAGATGGTGGAGGTCTCCGTGTCGCTGAAGTAGCCCGGCTCTCCGGTGTAGTGCGTGGGGTAGATGAGCAGCGGCTCCACGGAGAAGGCCTTCAGGTCCCGAGGCTCGAAGTGAGTCATGAACGCAGTGCTGATGAGGAGGGAAATAATAGAGATGTTATGGACACTGGAAGCAAGTTCATGGAGAATATATCATTATCAAAGATTCAAAGGTTTTATTGTCATATGCAAAAAAGCTACTAGTAGCGAGTAGTTGGCAGGGACAATCACAACTCCAGGGATCAGCCAACAGTGGAACACACAATATACTTAAGACAAAAAGAAGTAAAAAGTGCAATAAAAGTAGTGCAAGTGATACAATTAAGCAAGTAAAACTCAGGAAGTAGTAAGCAAGTATCTGCTTAGCAAAGTACACAATATTTTGGAATTATTTAGTAGATATGGTAAGGTTGGTTTGTTTTTAGGGTCTTTGGTTAGTGTTAGTTGTTTTGAAATGTGTTATTGTTATGGTATAATACATCTCAACTCTTTCCAATTGGACATGTTCGTAAACATTCTATTTAAATACTATCTGTCTGTTGCACTATTCTCAAGCTTCAGAAACCTCATTAGGGTGTCACATTTCACATATTTAACTTCTGTTTTAAGATCGGATTTGAACTTTTATGCAACATCGGGATTTAAGTTAACCCAACCGAAGGATATTTCAATTCAAATAGATCTCTTTTGTGCCCAATAATCCTCTTCACCCTTCTTCCATTTTCTCTCTCATCTCCATCCCATCACCGAGAGCTGCCACCTATACTCCAGATCTCACACCCCCTTCTCTATCCTTTCTGTCAGATCCCCCAGCAGACGGGAACAATAAAACAGTGAGCAGAATTTCACTCACTATCTGCTTAGTCAAAGTACACATTACATATTACAAAAGATCATAAAATGCAGCTTCATGTCATCCTAATATCACCCTATAAGTCTTTGGGAGCCTGCAGCAGGAATGGGAGGAATGAGGATTGTTTGGGTGTTTCAGGGTCTTGCAGACAGACGTTACTCACCACAGAGGTCAACTCCCCCTGTCATTTCGCATGCTTGGCCTGTCAGCACTCCATGAGGACAGTGAAACCCTACACCTTCATTAGACCACAAGTAAACACACGCTCACACACACTTTTTACACACAACCAGGTGTTTTCAATGGGTCATATTTTTGTCTTGCTTCTGTTTATGTGCCATTTGCTCTACCTGATCAAAGGACTAATCGCTTTTCAAAATCATTCATCCCTTCTGCACTCAAACTTTGAAATTCTTGATAGGCTTTTAACTTGATTATTTATTTATTTATTTATTATTGTGATGCTATGAACTATTTATAGTGTAAATTGGAATGATCCACATCTGTGCTCCCGGGTGTATCTGTGTGTTTTCTTCCTGTATGTTCCTGCCTGTGTACATGACATAAGCTGCTGCTCATAACCAATTGCCCCTTGCGGGATTAATAAAGTTGTTGATTGATTGATTGATTTAGTTAAGTAACAAAAAAGGGAGAGGGGCGCTTTACTGAATCTCTCCACCCAGCCTGCAACCCCCTTAAAACAACACATTTGACATAATTACCACCATTTTAACAGGGCACATAATCCCCTGCTGTTGATTAATGTAACACACAACACATTTTACATATTTTCCCCAGCCACCTTTCTGTCCGTTTCCCCATTTCTTTCACTTTGGAACAAACTCACCTTCTCTCACTGTTGAATACACACACACACTGTGTTTAGCTAGTAATCTATACACTGCACACTAGACACACATCTCCATGTATTTATATAGTAACACGCACACACACACACACACACAGTGTCCATCTCTACCCCACCCCCACTGCCAGGCCTCTATCAATGGGAATCCTGTCCCCTTCTCCAACCAGCAGGAAGAGCCGTGCTGGCCCACATTCCTCAAAGGGAGAGTAGGAAGGCGGAGGAGAAATGGGTGACACAGGAAAGGGGAAGGTGTGCAAAAAAGTAGAGGTCTGTTAATTAAGGCTGCCTTTACACGGGAACGTTTGCGTTTATGCACAGTATGCGTTTTCAAAAAAGTCTTCCGTTCACACGCATTCGTTTCATTTAACGTGTCTGTTCACACGAGACCGCTCGACCCGCTGGAAACGCTGTAGTACATATGCCAGGCCTGTAAGTGGCGCTGCTGCCGCTACAAAATACACCAAAAGCAGCGAAGAAGACCCCGGAGCATGGTTGCCATGGTTGCCCTTCTGTTTATGCCCCGCGGTGGATTTAGCAACATGTAGTAGTTCATGTAATTCTCCATGTCCACTTGTTGCTGATGGTTGTGGTAGATGAGCTGTAGATTTTGCACTAACATCTGTAGCATGGTCAGCAGCAGTAGCACTAGCAGTAGCTACTGACAGTAGCTACTGACCATGCTACAGCAGTGAGCAGCAGAGGTGGGGAGAGGCGGGGCTATGGCTTCGTCTATCGGGAAATGATCGTATAGAGGCGATTACACGGAGCCGTTTGACCCCCCAGAGCGTTTCGTTTGCAGATCTATCCACCTTGGGACCCGTTATCGTTTGTGGGGTCCATTTCTATCGTTTCGTTACGGCCTCGTGTAAATGAAAGGGCTATACGCAAGAGAAACTATGCCGATACAACCCGTTTTGTTCTCGTGTAAACGGGGTCTAAGGGGGGATGTTAAAGAAGTAAAAGAGAATAAGAAATGAAGAATGACAGAGGCGACAGGCGAGACAGATTGCTGATTTAAAGGATGAAACATGGAATGATGTTGAGGTGGAGATGGAGCAGGGCATGTGAGGAATCCCCAAAGAGAAAAGAAAGAGAAAAGCCGGCATTGTGTGTCCTGCGCAGGGTCCTGTACCCACTGAACCCCAAGAACAATCCAAGCCCTGTGTGTGAGGCAGCACAGGAAAAAGGGGGTGAAAGAAAAAAGGGAGAAAGAGGAACATAATCGGGGGGAAGGAAGGAAGGAAGAAAGTGGAGACATATAGGGAGCATAAATTGGAGTTGAACTGGACGGAGGTTGTGGTCTACCACACGAGAACAAACTAGAAAACTACACACTATCCAACTGTCTAAAATGTCTCCAAGAAACTGTTTGTGTCTATGTTGACATAATTACTCTATAGTAAGTCCTGCAGTTTTTATGAGCACGGCTTTTGCCCTCGAGTCTGTTTTTGAGCATGCAATGGATCAATGCACTGTGTTCTTTAAATACAGCTTTCACTTCAGCATCTTCATGTGTATTCTTAATGTAGACTGCTTGAGCTATTCTTATTCAGGAGTGCACCTGTAATCATATATTTGTGGTTCACAGTAAATATTTGCCTGTCTGTTCAGACCCTCTAAAAAGGTATTTGTCTGTTTGTCATTATACAGCAATACTTCTTTTAGTAGCCTCTGTGGTTTTTATGCAGTACACGCCTCAAATGTCTTTGTGTATTATTAGCATGTTCTTCATGTTGTGTTGTGCATGTATGCAGCACTGTCATTTCAAATCAAAGTGAAGTAAAGACTGACTTGGGGTGTTTGTTGAACATGACAGGGAGGTACTCGTCGACAGGCAGCATCTTCGACAAGGGTTTAGCATCCAGTAACTTCTTGGCTCCTTGCAGTGAGAGCGCGTAGCCGAGCGTCCAATAGGAGTAGTCGGCCTTCACCAGGTTGTTCACGCCGTCCACAGACTGCTCCGGCTGCTGCACCTGCATACGCTTACGGCCCACGTAGCTGGAGAGGATGGAGAGAAAGAGTGTGTTGATGAGGCTTCATGCTAATGGATGCAAACTTTTAGATTTAAGGCGAGACACTACATGCACTGATCAATGTTCATTAGGGTTAGGGTTTGTAAGTAATCAGCAGTGAAAGTGTCTATTAGTTCATTGTGTTATCCTGTTCACCTGTAGTGTCTTGCAAAAGGTATGGGATTTTCCAATACATATCCTTATAGCTTGTTTCTCAAAAAAAAGAATGTTCTCATAGTCTGAATATCAGAAATAATATAAAATCCTGAGACTATATGTCCACAAAATTAAAAGGTCCCCTATTATACTGTTTTTCATCAATATATTCCAGGTCTCAGATACAAAACATGTCTCTGAAGTGGCTCGAAATACCAAACAGATCATTGCAGCATCCCATAATCCTCTCTGTTTCAACCCTGTTTCAAAAGTGCTGATTCTGTGTCTGTTACTTTAGATGAAAATAAGGATCCACTCCAAATCGTTATGACATCATAAAGTGGCCAAAATCTGATCAGCTCATTTTCAGACAGGTTTTTATATAAATGGATCAGGACAAAAAGTGAGCGAATCTCTTTTCCTGAAACTTTCAGAATCTCTTTACACAGAGGGGACGCATGTTGATGTAGAAAAGACATGAAAAAGTGGATTTTGCATAATAGGTCCCCTTTAAATAAGAACTTTCAAATCTAGATTTATGTACAATCGTTACATTTAAGAAAAACTTTAAATCTGAAAACAATTATAGTTAGCAACAGGGAAAGTTTAATGTAGATATAGATTAGTTAGAATTTCATACCTTTTTCTAGTGTAACATTTGAAGGAAACAAAGTGTGTGTGTGTGTGTGCGTGCGTGCGTGCGTGCGTGCGTGCGTGCGTGCGTGCGTGCGTGTGCGCGTGCGTGCGTGCGTGCTCTTACATGAGGTCCCAGTCCAGCTGGGTTTTGTCTACGTCATCCATGATGGACTGGATTCGTCGTTTAAATCTAGGTTCAAACCTCACATCGTCCTCTAAAACAAGAACTTTTGGGATGCCCTTCTCCACCACCTGATGGACAGAAACACACATGCTCAAGTAAAAATACAATTTAAACAGCTGACGTTCTGCCAGCTGTGCAGATTGTCCGTTGTTTTACAGTACTTTTGTGATGATTGTGCTGACAGTCTCTTTATTGAACTACACAGCCCTTCTATATTAGGGTATTTACCTGCTTCCATATAGAGTAATGGCTGAGGAAGCACCCGATCTCCCCTCTGGTCAGGACTCGACCAGAGTAAGGGTCTTTGTAGCCCGGCATCATCTCTATTCCTAGCGCCTGAAGCTGGGATGAATTGAGAGCCCTTATAGACACAGAGAAGGGAAATGAATGAGTAGTAGTAGTTGAAAAAAGTGAAGTATTTCTTCACTTGTTATTATGTAGCTAGGTCTGTCATCATCCAAAACAGTGTCACAGCCAAAACACAACAAAGTCAAACACAGCAAGCTGCAACAAGCGTTACATTTTGTCAGACAAACAAAGGCTGGAAAAAGGATTAGGACATTCTCAGCGGTGGATTAAAGTAAAGCGCCAAGGAGGGAAAGTAAGTCAAGCCTATTGCTACAAACACCAAAGCTGTGTTTAGAGAGGATGTTTGGGTATGGATGTCAGAGGAAGTAACGACAGACGCATCACAGAAAAGTGGGACATCTCTTAACTGATGTTCAGGGAGTACATGATCTTACTTTTGTTCTGCAGACTAAACCTTAAAAGACTAAATCACAGAGATTGTAAGGATGATTTTTTTTCTGGATTCAATCAGACTTCAGGTCAGTTCATCGCGTGCGTGCAGGGCTGTGTGTTTGTGACCTACTTGCCGTCCACGGCTTCTTCCAGCACGGTGTGTAAACCCAGCGAAGACATTGTTTTCAACATCCTGGTTCTTCTGTCCAGCCGGCGCTTCAGGTTAACCAGGATAATCTAAACATGTATCAGGGAAAATGGAGACATGATCATGAGTTTGAGGTTAAAGCAAGGGCAAAAGAAGAAAAACAACACTTGGAAACACAAGAAAGGAGAAAAACAGCTTCCAAAACAGGAAGTGGGAGTTGCTGATTAACAGAAAAATATACAGAAAAACAGATGTTCCTCCAGGCAGAGCCAACACACTTGCTGGAGCTATTCATTGACTTGTCATATTAAATAAATTGATCATCATTCAAAGTTAGAATTGAAGTTGATTGTAGTAGTTGTTTATGCCTTTATTTAACCACTTAAAACCATTGTTCTTTGTATGTGGGTGTATGTTTGTATGGCTGTGCAAATGGACAAACAAAAACAATTAATGCCTGGACAATGGACTACATCCAGTGTAATATTCGCTATCTGGTGCCTCTGCAGTAGTTGTATTTAGAGTGTTGTGTTTTATTTGTTTGTCTGTGATTTAAGGACAAATAGACAATAGCACAACACTGCTTTTAACTCACTTTATCAAAGCCCATGGTGATCTGTGGCGACGGCTGAGAGTGCAGGTGCTCAGAGGGCTCAATGTCGTGGTCAACTGTTCACAGAGAGAGGAGAGAAGCAAAAGGTTAAAACAGCAAAAACAGGATTAGAAAATAAGTACATTTCCTCTGGATTAGGGTGGTTTATTTAATCTAAAAATCTGAGAGGAGAGGGGAGCCAAAAGAGTGGGAAAGTGAGGGCTGGGGATGGGAGTTGAATAAACAGAGAGAGAGAGAGAGAGAGAGAGAGAGAGAGAGAGAGAGAGAGAGAGAGAGAGAGAGAGAGAGAGAGAGAGAGAGAGAGAGAGAGAGAGAGAGAGAGAGAGATAATATGAAGGACGAGGATTAAAGCAGAGAAAGTTGACAGGATGTAATCAGGAAGGGTCGCAGAGGTCAAGAAGAAGAAGAAACAAACCTGAGAGGGGAAGTCATCGTGGAGTGACAGATGGTTAGGTCACAACAGCTGGAAAGAGTGTGTGTGTGTTGGTGTCGGTGTGCGAGTGTGTTTGTACTTGCTCAAAGCCTCCGTGATGGTGTGTATGAAACTCTCGCTCTCATCCTCCACACTCTGCTGTGCTTTGAGAGGGACGGGCAGCAGACCGTAGTGTTCTCTGTTACACACATACATCTGCACGCCTGCAAAACACACACATGTATACATTGTCCTGTAAATAAAACCCTTTGACCCAAACATTCAAATAAACATGCAAATGAGACCACCCCCAGTCGTAATACCTTGTCCCCTATGCGCTAGTGTCACACTAAAGCCTACATGCTTTTCAAGAAAATAAACACTGCCGCATTTAATCAAATGCTTGATGTTACTTCAAAGCATAAATATATTTGCATCTCATATTCCTTTTGAAGTATATAGAGCACATTGCATTGGGTTATTTGTGAAGAGATGAAAAATAACCGTGCAGGCTTCACACGAGACATTTGAGATTAACGAAATCATTGTTATCATTTATAAGTGTGTTGCAATAACTGTCATTATGTAAGAGGTGTCAAAAGGTGAATATACTGCATTTATTCCATTGTAAGAAATATCCATTAGGTTTTTGTAAACTTTAAATTGGGTTCTGTTTCATAGCTTAATTGTTTTATTTGAATGAAAATGACTAATTGGAATTGAAATGTTCATTATTTTTTACATGTGTAAATGTTTTCGGCAAAGTAAGTATGATATTAAAGTGACTTGTTAAACACAGTGAATGCTTCAATTAGAGTACTGAAATTAACCAATATAAGCTATACGCTATTGGTTGAAGACAAAGAAAGGCTGTAATGTGTTGACTTGAGAGATGATTTGTAATGCTTACCAGTCATTTGTAGACAGTCCGCATTCAAAAGTAAAATATTCCCACTTTAATGCTGCATATTTACGTGTACTTTTATGTATTGAATGTCATTGGAGAGAAGTAAGAAACTCTGCCTCAGTTTCTTTGAGGGTCTTTGTTTGTGTAAATCTGTTTCTGTTTGTGTGGATCCTTTAATGGCTTTACTTTTTTAGTTTGCAGGGGAAAGTCACACCCTGTTGAAAGATTTATGGTTGTGTTTGCTCCCTACGGATGATTACTCATGTCAAACATAGACATCTACAAACATTTGCATTGTTGCACACTTACAGATAAACACATGGTTTCATTTTCCTCCGCTTTAACTCATCTGCATAGTCTGCACATGAGCATTACACCAAATTAAAAAAAAGTCCTGAGCAGTACACCCATGCAAATGAAAGGTTGGAATACACCTCTAATTAATGAATTCATTAAGTCAATGACAGCCTTCAGTTCATCAAAGTCAAGCTGTCATGTGGTATTTAGAAGTTTGTTGTGAGTTTTCAAACGGACCTGCTTGACGAGCAGAGAAAGCAAACACCATGATGTCATCAAACGCCCAGCTGTAGTCGGCGTGGGGGGGGTAGAAAGTCAGATCCTTGCTGGACTCACGACGCAGGTCTATTAGGAAGGTGCTGTGCACCATGGGAACAGAGTAGCAGCCGAGACGCTTCCACTCCCTGATAGGCTGGTAGTCCGGGGTCCGCTTGTAGTATCCCTGAGAGGAGACATTTTATTTTATTTGTCATATTTTCTGTAGTTAATTGTTTGAATATTTGTATTTATTGTAAACATTTATTTTTATAATTTAATTTTACAATAGTTTTAAAATAGATTGATATGCTTCTTTTGATCATTGATGAATTCATGTATTTATGTCAGCTGGCAAAGGTGGAGCTAATTTAAATGACTATATATATATACTGCTGTAGGATATCGTCAACCATAATAACTCATTATAGTTATTAAATTGTTGATTTTAGTTTTTGCATCAACCAATATTATGAACCTGTAAAGTAACTAAAGCTGTCAGATAAATGTAGTGGATTAAAAAGTTAAATATTGGCAGCCGAAATTTAGTGGAATAGAAGTATAAAGTAGCATAAAATGGAAAAAAATCAGTTAAAGTACCTCAAAGTATTACCTAACTACAGAAGTTGAGTAAATGTGCTTCGTTACACTCCACCACTCAACAGCTGCAGTAGTGTTCAAAAGATTCAAATTCAAAGGTTTTATTGTCATATGCACAGAGCTGCAGTGTAGAAATGGCAATGAAATTCTTCTGACCTGACCTCCAACAATGTGTAATAAAATACAAAAATACAACAAAAAAAAGTAGTGCAAAAAGTCTATATACATGTAAACTGTACCTGTGGGGTGATGCCGCACCAGAAGTTGGAGTAGAGCGAGCGAGACTCTAACATGGGGGCAGCCAGCGTCAGGTTTTCAGCCATCATCAGGTTCAGCACATGGGGGTTTGTCAACAGGTTGTCACTGTCTACAAACTGGAGAGGGGAGAGGGTACGAGTGTACAAGTCATATCCAACACATCTGAAAAAACTGTGTTGTTTCAATCATGCTACACAATCACTGACTCCTTCATCAGCTGTTTGCATATGAGCTGATTAGTAATGTTCAACCAAAACAATGCAGGTGTAAAGTGTATGTGACCACTATAACAGGACACTTTTCACTGTTACTCTAATTACATTTGTTAGAAATCGCTGTTGTTATTAAATATACAAATCTTTAGACCCTCACGAGTGGGGTATTACATCATAGGACAAAACCAAATTCAAACCCCCGCCCCCGCAAACAAACCCCCTTTTCAGAACATCTATTCGGTTTGTATATTTGAAAAGGTTTGTGTTTGTTGCAATATAGGCTGTTAATTCATTATATTTAATCTAATTATATACCCAGGATGTAAATCGCATTGTTGACTATTTTATAAATAGGGAGGCTGTGGCTCAGTGGGTAGTGTGATGGACTTCGAATCAGGGGGTAGCAAGTTCGAGTCCCACTGCAGTCAGCATGTCATTGTGTCCCTGGGCAAGACACTTCACCCCAAATTGCTCCTGTGGGGATTGTCCACAGTACTGAATGTATGTAAGTCGCTTTGGATAAAAGCGTCTAACAAATGTAATAAATAAAAACAGCATCTAAGACTTACGAGTATGTAGTCAGCCCATCGTTCCCTGGCAGCCTTCAGCGCCGCCTGCCTCAGCTTCATCACATGGTTGAACCGTGACGGAGGCCAATGCTTCGGACCCCACTCATCTGTGTATGATCTGATGAAGATAAAAGGCGGTTGTCAAAATGTTACTAATTATATGAGATCAAATCCAGGACATGTTTGAAGTGCTGTGAACATTTGGTAATTAAAGTTGGAAGCTGTGACTCACTTTGGCTCGTCCATCGGTCGCCACTCCACGTAGTGATAGACACCCTGGGCTCTTTTCAGCCATTCTTTCAACATTGAAGTAGTGTTGTCCACATTATGGTCTGTTGCTGCCCTGGAACACCAAAGCAGAAAAGGCAGGACATTAATGAAATGAAGTGAACTCTTCAAACTACAATGCTGCCTGTTATACGCATCTGCTAAACACATGAGATGTTAACAGCTGACCGTGCGAAGAAACAAACATCTTTGCATGTCAGGGCTGTTTTCAGGGATAAGACACTAAAGAAATGAGAGCATGTGAAGCTGAACGCTGCAGACTGTCATTAGGTTGAGGGAAGAGGTGGTGACACTCGGCGACATGACATTCAGATAGCATGTCTGTCCTTCCACATTCGTCCAATTACTCTCTGATGTCACAAAAAGCAGCCTACCAAGCTTCCTTTCTGCCTTATCAACTGCACTGCCCCTCGGAGCACAGACAGTCTGAGGAGTGCAGACAGATGCTGCTGTGGGTAAAAATGTACTCAAGACAGGTATGCCAGACAGAGCTGTGGAGACGGGCTCAATAATAACTGAAGGTACCGTACATTTCCCTAAATCCAAGCAACTTGACACAGACATATTGCACAGACAACACATGCACAGACTCGCACACTCATACCAGTAAGCAAATGATGTCAGTGTAAAAGTTAGCACTGTTGCAGCTTCTTATTTGTCACTCCTGTGGTTTGCACTCTGTTGCTGTTTCTTCAGAGAGATTTCCACTTCAGCTCCCAGGGCTGACTCAGAGAACACACTGCGACTACTGTATGTGTGGTTAAGAGTGTGTGTGTGTGTTTGTCTTTATATTAATGTGTGCAAGATCATTTAAAACTGTAACTGTATCGCTGTGCACCTACCAACTCAACATGAGTTTTAGAAAAATAAATATACCTGTCTTTGCATTTAAATTGCCCTTTAAAGAGGAAAGGTCAACAGAAAGTGAGAGATAAACTTTACTTGAATGTGCGCACACACAGAGATGGAGTTTTCCACTGCTTGCTGTAATATTCCTCGCTGGACTCACTCCAAAATTACGCCCAATTTGAGTTAGCATGGCCACACACACACACACACACACACACACACACACACACACACACACACACACACACACACACACACACACACACACACACACACACACACACACACACACACACACACACACACACACACACACACACACACACACACACACACACACACACACACACACACACACACACACACACACACACACACACCCACACACACACACACACACACACACACACACACACACACACACACACACACACACACACACACACACACACACACACACACACACACACCACACACACACACACAGTCTTGATTTACGCACATTTAGCACAAATAGCAATACAGAAACACCTGTTATTATGCACACATATGCTTATGTTAATACACACAAACGCAAACATGCACAGTCTTGCTCTGCACACATGGATTAGTCAAAATGAGGCAGGGTACCCTTAGGTTTGGAATTTCAATTATCTTCAGACGGACTGATATCTCCTCACACATAACTAGCAGCTGGAGAGGGACCTGAGCCAGAAGGAGACACAGCACTCAATAATTGTAATAGTGTGTGTGTGTGTGTGTGTGTGTGTGTGTGTGTGGTTGTGCATGCCCATACTTGCAGACATGTGACACAACATAGCGATGTTCATTTTTTTATGTCCTTGGAATGTTGTTTTTACAGCGGTGACCGGTAATTTATCTGTTGCACAGATGGTAGTTTCCCATTTTAAATGTATCTGTTTCCGTGTGTGTAAAAGGTTGTGGGTATGCGAGTAAAAACTAAAAAATGTGTGAATACAAGCATGTGCATGTGTGTTTTAGTGCATAACTGCCCATGTGAGTAATACAGGAGGAGGTTCCCGCCTAAAGACTGGCTGTTTTTTGTTTATTGTGGGATAGAAACACACTGGAACAGCTGACTCATTGGTAATGAGTACATGTGCACACACATTTACACACTTTTTCAACCACTAAACTGCACATCGCTGAGGGAAATAAATGTGTTGCTACATGCAGTGTCCCAATGACAGACCTAGCTCCAGGGAGCGATTTAACTTAAGGGAACTTCTGGGATTTAAAGTAAACAATACCTGACACAGCATGTGGGAACATACATAATATATAAGACTCGAGCATGTATATGAATGGGATAGAGGGGAATTGGAAATAAAGAAAGTGGATGTGTGTGTGCAGTCTCTTTTTCTGTTCTGCTAAACATGAACTGAAAATGTGCAGAATTGCTATAAAATGTTATCACCAATAAACAAAGAGCTCATTAAAAACCTTTCCAAACTTTGAAAAGATCAGGCAAATATTATTTTCCACATATCACATTAAAAAGCTAATGATGCTTTCTCCTTTACTCATAAAATCAGTACGATTTTAAATCTGAAAGGAGTGTTTTTTTCAAATATTTTCAGGCTCTTGTTGGCAGGACGTATTCTTCCTGTTTTCTGTGAAGCAGTGGGTAAAGGTGGAAGACTGTCCACAAAAGAATATAATACTTTTATAACTTTTATGGCTAAAAAATAAATGTGGGAACAATTACTTCAAGAAATACGCAGATTTTCCAATAAAACATGACCCTATCTGTGTTGTGTTTGGATTAAAGCAATTCTAAATATATGTTCAACATCACAACTTCTGCAGTATGATCAACGTTGCATCTGCTGAGAATGATGCATCACGTTAGTATTCCTCCCACTGCTTCAGGTTTGAGCCTTTCATTTCTATAAGGGATCCTCCCCTCAATCTCATTTCATTTCAGACACGTTTGTTCTCATTCAGGGAGGGTTCTCAACTTCCTCTACCTTCAGGCAAGATATCTCGCTGCAGCTGGAGTGTTCTGTGACCTCTGAGCAAAAGAGTCTTCGCAGTCCCTGCCAAATCCTTCCAGCTTTGCGATACTGATGTCTCTGAAACTGTAGCATTCTGAATATTTTATCCAACTTAATATTCCTGCATGTCTGTGATACTATTAAAATGAAGAAATTAGGACTACGGTATGCATCTCTGCACAAAGACACACTAATAAAAAGTGCCTCCACACCTCTCTTTCTCTCCTCATTCCTGTTTTGAAGTCTACAGTAAATTGCAGCCTCATTATTCTGCTGCCTGCAGATCTGAGTTTGGGCTCCCTCTCCCTTTTTCAGTCTTTATGAGCAGCATCTGGACACCACATGCCTCACCTACACACCCACCACTCCCTCTCTCTCTCTCGCTTCATAGACATCCCTTTATTCTTCCAAAGTACCGGATCTCTGTCCTTTCACCTACTTATCAATCCCTCCTGTCATCTCTGGTTCCCCTTGATCAAAGCATCAACATGCACCGGTCCTTAATCAGTGCTGCTGCACCAGCTAGCGTAGACTATTATCCCCGATATTTGAAAGGGACATTTGAAGATAAAACATGTAGCTTGTTGATAAGACATTTCCAAATGAGCCCATACTAAGCCGATTCATTACATTACATTATTACATTACATGTCACTTGTTAGACGCTTTTATCCAAAGCGACTTACATGCTCAATACTGTGGGCAATCCCCACAGGAGCAATTTGGGGTGAAGTGTCTTGCCCAGGGACACAACGACATGCAGTGGGGTTTGAACCTGTGATCCCCTGATCCGAACACCAACGCACTAACCACTGCACCACACGCCTCCATGATTCAGATGCTGGATTGCATGACATCCTTTTGTCAGGTTTTTCTGTAGCGATCATGGAGTTACACAAAGAGGTTGGTCACTTCTGCACCTCAGTCATGTGATTATCAGCCTGCTTCACGCTCTCTGGCTCTCCCCCTCCCACTGTTTAAGGTTATCCTCTGCAGGAGTGTGTCAGATAACAGGGAGTGTGTCGAGAAGGAGTGAAGGCCACCTGGCCTTAAGCACAGAGGTTTGTCTCAGACTGGCCCTGCTGAAGGTAAACATGTGTCTGAAAGGATCCAGCAGGAACGTTGTTAAATAAACGATCTAATATCGCTGCCAATAATGACCGGGTGCTGCATGTAATTAAAAAGCAAGAATGGCTCTTTCAGACCAGAGCGTCTTTCAAACATAACAACTATGCCAGTGTGTGTGTGTGTGTGTGTGTGTGTGTGTGTGTGTGTGTGTGTGTGTGTGTGTGTGTGTGTGTGTGTGTGTGTGTGTGTGTGTGTGTGTGTGTGTGTGTGTGTGTGTGTGTGTGTGTGCGACGTGGCTAAAGGCCTCTTGATGGCCTGGCGGGGCAAAGAAGAAAGAGGAGGGGAGAGAGAAATTCCTCATGAGTCTCAGGGTCAACAAAAGTAGCCGAGGCCGGTGGACTAGCACCGAAGTGTAAAATGTAGTATTCATATTCAAGCCTGGGAAGAAATATTCATCATGGTTGGATAAGAGAGCCAGTGTTGACTGTATGAGAAGCCTGCCTCCAGTGTTGGATCGCTAACCACCACCCTGACCTCTACATCATTACATTTAGCTGAACGTTTGCATTGGAGGTGTGTAATTTCGAGAACCTGGGCTGAAACAAAAGATGCTGTAATTGTATCTGAAGAGACAAGAAGGCACAGAATCATTTTAATTGAGTGTATCATGATAAATGGAAACAGGCCTCCAGGATGCTAGTCATTAATTCCAAAAAACACCAATATTTCTCGGTTTCTCTGGTTTGTTTTTGCAAACCATCCCTTCCCATAAACTTTTCAGTGCACACAGTTAAGTCTAGCTTTTCTGAGCTCTGGGGAAGTTTCCAAGTATTACATTTGCATTGTTTAAACATTTAAAATACAAAGATGAAATCAACCTGTTCACGTTCCGAGGTGTCCTCTTAACCATTTAACAGTTCTCTTGTACATTGTCGACTTTCTAGTTAATAATTTGCTGGTGCAAGAAATCTTTAGTTGCAATACCGCCTTTAGACATATTGTCTCTTAACTGTAATACATTCTTGCCCTCCTCCCATCCCTCCCAACACTAAGAAAGGTTGAACCTTTTTGGTATCAGGAGGAAAAGGTGTTGACGGGTTATTACTATATGCTGATGATA